TCTTTCTCTCTCTCTTTCTCTCTCTCTCTCTCTCTCTCTTAAGGGCTAAAAGGGATTGAAAACTACACAAGAACAGGCTGAAGAACTTGGATTACTCATGCGCATTCCCGTGGGAGAATCTACGTGCATTACCAACCCGGTTGGTTTCCATACACGCGCTGTCTTGTCTCGGGAGACTGACACGACGGTGCCGTCAAGGAAAGTCGCCACCGCTCTCACATCCGCGCTGTGACCAAGCAGCACACTACTGAGCTTGTACGGCGGTTTGTCCATGCTGGCAGTACCTGCTGGTTTCTTTGGAATCAATTTCAATAAATTTTGCGAATTTACACAACCTAACACGAACCACGGGCAGGTTGGAGCAGCTCGTCTCGCTGCGAGCTCCACCAAACTCCAAGTTCACAGTTCACTCCACTGCGCTGCGATCGGCTGCGATGACAAATGCAATCCAACTCCGAGTTGCGCATGCGCACATCGTACAGATTGCAGTGCTTAATTCGGGACCGCGCTTTTGCTTTCGAATCCCAAAACAACATACTCTTTTAAGAATTTAGTGTTTCCTACATCGTCTCTGTCGTGTTACGTTTCGATTGTAAATATTTCAGCGAGTTTTCATCGGCGCGTGCAAGCGGAAGAAAGTTGCGCATCGCGGAAAATCCGTTGTGAGGAGCACGTGCAGTCGTCTTAGGCTCGCGTCGTTCAAAGCTAGTTCCGCACTTCTGCGCGCTTCTCTACGTTTCGTTGTGTTTTCGAAAAATCACGTCGCGCTTGTAAGAGAAGTACATCCCGAGAATCAAAGAAGGCATCCCCGCAAGGTATCGATAATACTGAGCATAATTTAGACTCTAAGATATTATATCGCAGGTGAATTTGCTCTTTGTACTCGATTGTGTGTCTTGAAATGAGGTCTTGAAAATTACAAAAGTGAACAAATTCACTAGAATATTTATAATTTAAATTTTAATTAATCAATAACTAGTGAATTTCAATAACAATCGACTTCCTGATTCTCGGTATGATCTAACGACAAAGTATAATATTTGCGAAAATGATCTAATTTCTACTGAAAATACGTTTGATCGCGTTCAATTCATTTCCGCTTTGGTCTACAAAAATCTTTACTTTCAAGGAAATATTTGATCACCAAAGAGGAATCGAATTGAGGATTTCGGTAAAAATATTTCATCAATAGCCGCGTTCAGCAGATTATTTATTGCGATCAATATATGCGTCCTTTGACAATTATAGATATATATATATATATATAAATATAAAAAAATAAAAATATAATTCCTTGGATTAGCTTATTCTATTCCACAGCTCAAGACAAAGTTGGAGGAAGAATTCATTCTATTCCATGGGATAACGGCTGGGTAGATTGCGGGGCACAATTCCTGCATGGTGATAAGAGCAGGCTTGCTCAATACTGTCTCAACAATGATTTATTATCGACAATTCAAGGAACGGACGGCGACGGAATTTTCTTACGCGATGACGGAACGATAATGAGCGACAGTTTGGTTCGTGAAGTCGATGATTTCGTACGAACCGTCTTGGATGATATCTGCGAATCTCAAAAGCCTTTGAAAAAGAAGGAAAATATCGGTTCTATCATGAGAAATAGGTTTGAGGATTATTTACACGAGCGAAATGATCCTCCGGTGGAA